ATGGGTAGGGAAGCACCATTCCCTATAATTACTTGATCCTTACCCGTATAGTTACTTGCTTGATCCAAGTGGGAAAGGTTTGGAGTCATGTGGGCTGAAGCTCCTGTGTTCAGATACCAATCATTGGGCTCAGGCCCATTAAGAGAGGAAGAGGTGTTAAAAGCCTTAGCTAGATAGGCTGTGGTGCCCATACCATTTCTTCTCGATATGTACCTCTGGTCGCACTTATCAGCATAGTGGCCTTCTTGCCAGCAGATCTGGCAGCAAGGTGGACGGCGTCCCTGCCCAAAATTGGAACGGCCATTGTCGCAGTTTAAAGAGAAATTACTCCCCTGTTGGTTGCGGTTTGGCTGCCTCGGATTTGGGGGATTGGGGCCTCGATTTGTGGCTGCAAAAGTGGCAGTTGGGGAACCATATGAGTCAAGAGACCGCTAGAAAATCTTGAAACTTTCAGCCTTGGAAACCAAATCAGTGAAGAAGGGCAGGGGCGTTTGAGCCATTTGAGCGGTGGAGAAACTTGTAAAATCTGAACCTAGTCCTCGGAGGAACCAATGAGCTTTGTCAGTGTCATCGACAGGTCTTCCGATAGCATGGAGTTGATCGCAAAGGGCTTTGAATGCTCGAGCATATTCTGTTACCGAGCGAGTCCCACGTTTCATCAGTCGAAGGTCGTCCTTGAGACGAATTTCTCTAGCTTTTGATCGATGATTGAAGGTGTTTTCGAGTGCTAGCCAGACCTCACGGGAGGTGGAGAGGCCTACAACCTCTGCCATGGCTTCTTCAATGAGAGAGGAGAGCAGGAGACTCAATAAGAGCTGATCTGTGTTCTTCCACACCAGGTGTTTGATGTTTGGCGTCTTAGAGCCTTCAGGGTAAAAAAGTGGAAGTGGTTGAAGAGTACCATCAACATGGCCAAGTAGTTCTTGGCTTTCAAGTAAAGGAAGAAGCTGGCTTTTCCATAGGAGATAATTGGAGGATGATAATTTGATTGTTACCATGTAAATCATGGTATTGAAAGGGAGAATGGTGGGTGAGGCGTTTTCAGAGGCCATTGAAGCAGAGGGATCAATTGAGGCTAGTTCGAGTTGGCTCTGATACCATGAGAGGATTTGCAAAAGCCACACTCACAATGTCGTGAGTGATCTTCTATTTTTATTCATAATTGAGATATTTATAAATCAAATAAAGGAAACTAGATCA